GAATTATTTTCAATTTTATATTTTAATTTAGATTAAATAAAAATAGTAAATATGGTTGAATATCCAAAAATATCAGAAATATTAGCAGATACAGGTTCAATAATATCTTGGATACTTTCAATATCATTTATTGTATCAAAATATAATGAAAATATTTGTTTATAAAAAACATAAAAAGAAGTTATTTAAATGTATTATAATGATTTTATTGATTTTAAAATAAAAAAGAATTTGTTAGGAAAAATAAAAAGTGTAAATTATAAAGAAAAAGAATATGATCCTTAAAAATCAGAAGAAATATTATAAAAATTAGATTAAATTGTTATTGAAAAAATGAATTATTTAAATTTATAAAATGAAGTAGCTAAGTAAATATTTTTTATTAAATTTAATTTAGATTATAATAAATTTTATAAGAACATTTAGGATTAGAAAAAATTAAAAAATATTTAGAATCTAAATCTAAATTAGAACTTCTTTTTGATAAATTAGGTGTACCTGATGTTAATTATTAGAATTCTTTAAATTAAATTGTAAGTTCTTAATTTTAATTATTTAAAGTTTCCATAAAATGATGAACAATTTGGCCAAAATTTATAAATTTAGTAAGATGGATTGAATGATTTTCAGAATAATAAAGATAAATCACTTGAATAAGAATTAGAGGATAGGATCAGAATTTTAAACCTTAAAGTACCTCAAAATAAAAGTTTAAAAACATAAAATTAAACCTCAATCAGTTTAAGTTAATTACAATTCATTCATAATCATTCATAAGCTAATGTTCGATAAAAATAAGATTTTAATTAATGATTAATTTATAAAATTTAGGCACAATATTCATAATTTGATTAAATTACTAATTTTTGCTTTTTATTTAATTATCAGTTCATTCTCATAATCATATCATCTCTATTATATGTGGTTCATGAAAAACTAATCCTTACTCAGATTTTATATACTCTTAATCATATATCCATTAATTAAAAGCTTTTTTCAGCTAAAATAATATATAATAATGAGATTTTCTGAAAAATTCATCTGTATCTTTTCAACAGTTGAAATAAAATAATTTCATAATTTAACTGTTTTTTTTGAGGCGATAAATTTTATATTAGTTACTGTGTTCATAGGTATATATATAAATCAATATTAATAAATTAACCTTAATATTAAATACTTATAATTAAACAATGAAAAACACTCATAAAATGAAAGGATATCGTCTTGACATAAAAATTAATAAATCTCCTTGCTTTGATTTTAAAAAATAGATACTTCCATAATTAATAATTTTTAATAGTATGATATTTTCTAATTTACTTATATATCGAATAAAAGATTGATTTCTCTAGTATAAGCATTTTTAGTATTGAGCTCCATGATTAGAAGGAAAATTTAAAAATCCTCTTAATCATAATAAAAATTAAAAAAATCTCTTATTAAATATAATATTATTTAAGGAAATAAAAATTGAAAGATTTATAATAAATATTTAATAAATGCTATATTTCTTATAATAAATCGATTAATTTGGTGTTGAGTAAAAACTTTAAATTCCACCAATCAACCCTACATAAAAAAGTGTTTTTGGTGGATTAATAACCCTTGTTTTATATGGAATAAGTTTAGGATATTTTCTATTTGAATTAATTGATTGGCAATCAAATAATAAACTTCCAAAGATTACTTCTATATAATAATAAATTGATGCTAACTAAACTCTTATCTAAACTGGAGCACTTATTGAAATTAGCTATTTCTAAAAACTTGATAATTTGATTGATCCTTTTAATCCAAAATAACTTATATTTATGCCAATTTTTCAAGCAATACCTAATAATTGGAATTAAGTAAAAATATTAAAAATAATTTATAGATTTATAACATATCTCTTCATTTTGAGTAAAAAAAGTAAGAAAATGGAAAAATTATAAATAAATTTTATATTGAAAATATAACTTTGATAAGATCACCTTTAACATCTTCCTAAATAAGCTCTATGGACTATTAATTATTACTTGGATTTTGCAAAGTGGATTAATTAACTGATGGATAATAATGTGCTGATTAAGAAACGATAAATCAATTTTATTTGTAAGCCAACAACTTTTTTCAAGTTTAAATATATATTGAATAATTTGACTCAAAAACAAAGCAATTTAAAAAAGTTCCAAAAATTTTTGTTTTTGATATGATAGAGGGTCAGCTTTTTTAAAGTGAATTTACACTGTAAGTAGGAGAATTGGAATTAGATGATGGGTTTTTATTATCAAAATCAAATAAATATTCATATTTATCTAATATATTTACTGTAAGTTCAACACATGACTGGTCATATTCAAGAAAAGTATTTGGTGAAGTAATTATTTTCAATTTTATATTTTAATTTAGATTAAATAAAAATAGTAAATATGGTTGAATATCCAAAAATATCAGAAATATTAGCAGATACAGGTTCAATAATATCTTGGATACTTTCAATATCATTTATTGTATCAAAATATAATGAAAATATTTGTTTATAAAAAACATAAAAAGAAGTTATTTAAATGTATTATAATGATTTTATTGATTTTAAAATAAAAAAGAATTTGTTAGGAAAAATAAAAAGTGTAAATTATAAAGAAAAAGAATATGATCCTTAAAAATCAGAAGAAATATTATAAAAATTAGATTAAATTGTTATTGAAAAAATGAATTATTTAAATTTATAAAATGAAGTAGCTAAGTAAATATTTTTTATTAAATTTAATTTAGATTATAATAAATTTTATAAGAACATTTAGGATTAGAAAAAATTAAAAAATATTTAGAATCTAAATCTAAATTAGAACTTCTTTTTGATAAATTAGGTGTACCTGA